TATATATATATATATATATATATATGTGTGTGTGAAACTTGGGATAAATGGTGATATACACAATAAGTTTTATATCGGCTTTTAATTACAATTCATCATAGATGTTAAAGTATATTAATTTTTATAAAAATTATAAAAATTATGATTTTTTATTGATTAATTGTATAATTTTTTTTTATATTGGGAGTGCAAGCATGCATTACTATTAAACCCTATTTATATGAAAAAAAAAATTTGTGTATAATAAGTGTTGCATTAAAAGAAAAATTAAATTTTAAAATAAGTGTCATATTAATTTTTTAATATAATAATATTAATTACATAATATTATGTAAAAAAGGAATTTTGTGTTACATTATTTCTAACAAAGAAAATTAACAATAATATTAACTTTGAAAAATCATTATTCTCTTTCATCTATTTATTAGCTTTTTTATTTATGAAAAAATAACATAATACAATACTATCAAGTGTCCATGGTTCCAATTAATATCTATACAACATGTCTTTAATATTTTTATTTTACAACAAAAAGTTAATAACACATATCATATAGAGATTCATTAGGGACTATGGGGACTATATTGTCCAACACCACTAATAATTCCTCCTACTTGAATTACCCCTACCACCCCCTCTTGTGGTCCTAATAAGCACGCCAAGACGTGGGGTTGCAATTGCGATCTTTAATGTGTAGAGCCTTTCGATTCCTTGACATATTTGAGGGCTCATAAGAAAAGCTGGTCCTTATCGCCTCTTTTGTTGTTCGAGTTAATTAAAACCGCGGTGGTTGATGAACATAAGTGGTCTAAAGTGAAAAATAAGGACTTTAATTTTTGAAACTACTGAATTGCATCAATAAAAATGGAAAATTAATTATACCGTTCCCCAAAAGGAATAAATCATTTCCCCTTACAATATGGCACGCGTGTAACATAACTACACTAGTCTAAGTGGTATCTTGTTTATGCTTTTGTTCTTTTTGGGTTGGAGTAAGTGTTACACATGCATAATACTTTGCTGAATAGTTATTAGTGACAACAAAACAAAGAAGAATTTTATATTCAAGAATCAAGCTTAGTGCATGTGAATTAAGGATTAATTGAAGGTAATTTGTAGGATCATTATTCAAGGATTAGTCCACCAACCAAATCACGTATCATATTTTTGAACTTGTCAATTAAAGAAAGTGGTTAACATTTGTTTGCCAAATCACACCTCAGATGAAAAGGTAGTTAGTGATTAATTAATTATTATATAGACATAATTTTGGAATTGGTTGAAACTTTTCCCTCAATATTTTAGGTTAGTTTTGCTAGCTTCAGTTTACCAACCAAACATTTTGATGATGAATTGAATTTCCTTCTCTCACATTTACATGGATGTATCCATGTGTTAGATGATAAGCAATATATATATATATATATATATATATATATATAAAATAATAATAATAATAAATTTAACTACCACACTCTGGCCCTCCCTGCCTAGGAAAAAATAGACAATGGTTATTTATATCAATTAAGCGTGCGCCATCTTCATTGCCTTCAAGTTTCAACCAAAAAAGTCTCACTTAACACCTGTTTTGACAACCAATTTTCATTACACTGTAAATTTGTTATCTCCCCCATCTACCCTGTTAATGCTGAGTCAAATGTTATTAAGATGATAACTAACAAATTAAATTAGCTCCATGAATGTACAAAATGATGCTACACTAAATAAATATGTCATGATTGATACATATACTTTGTCTCTAATTAAATTCTTGGCTTGTGCGAATACAAAAATATTTGATGGGAGTATCAGTCATCAAATGAATTTTAATGTCATAAGAGAGTATATAAGTAGAAAAGATTTATTAATACTAATTACTTTTCTTAATTTTGATAAATTAAGTAATTATTTTTCTTAATTTTGGTGAATTAATTAGTTGTATCTTATATGTAGAAATGAAAATAATATTTTTTAATTTGCACGTCCATGCAAGCGTAAAAACATAGAGATAATCAATTGATGAAAGTAGGATTAACATCTGAATTCTACATTGACAATTGTGTTTTCTAACCTTGTGTGTATCACTAGCAACATCTTTAAATTATTCACTACTATGTAAAATGATAAAAAAAAAACAAAAAACAAAAAAAAAATTAAGTGAAATTCCTTAAGTATGATTAGTATTGTTCACTACTTAAAATTAGAGTTTTACTTTAGTAATATGTATTTACATTTAATGCAAACTTTAGGAAAATACATATTCACTAATTGTAAAGGCCTATTATTAAGGTATACTTTCAATTCTAATTAGTAAACAACACCAATAATATCTAAGGATTTGCATTTAAATTTTCTCAAATAAAAAAAAAAAGTTAAAATAAGTTTTTACTCTTTATAGTTTTACTTATAACTTTATCTTTAGTCTTTATAATTTAAAATAGTTATTTTTAGTTTCTATATTTATCTTTCTCAAATTTTTTAATTATAATTTAAGATAAATTAATCTTTCAAATCCCTATACTTTTAGTTTCTTTCATTCTTTTAAATCATTGTCTTTAATTATTTTAACGTATTTTTTTTTATGTACGTGATAGAAATATTAATTTAAATTTGTGTGTTTGATGTCGAATTTATTTTATTACAGTTACTCTAAATATGATCTCTGAATGCCCTAAATTTGTTTTGTACCCTCATTTACAACATTCATTATCGAGATATCATCTTTTTATCTTTATAAAATTAAAGATTTTTATGACGTTAATACAAAACAGACAATATTACCAAAAAAGTGTTTAATGATAGGGACTAAAAGAATTAAAAAAAACTACAAATATATGAGTTAAAAAAATCTATATTAAATTTAGAGACTAAAAATGATTAAAAAAAATATAAAGACTAAAAAAAATATATTTAAATTTATAAAGACTAAAAAGTAAAATAAGTAATACTATAAAAACTAAAAATAAAAAGTAAAAAAAAAATGGACTACACCTTCTAATGGAAACTTCTTTCCTCGATTTGGAAATCCCCATATGCCATAAAGTGTACAAAGTAGTCAATGTATAGATTTCGAAGGATGTGATCCTTTGGGACATAAATTTTGATGATCATTGACGAATTGTTTCTATTTTTCTATTTCACCCATATGGGTTGTTTAGGCACAACGCAAGGATGCACCAGGATGAGTACAAAACAAATAGGAGGTGTTGTTTGGTATTCCCTCCTCAACCCAAAGAAAGAGAATGTACCGGCGGCTACGGCACCACCTTTAATTATCACATTCTTCTTCTATTAAATATCACAAAGATGCAAATAAAAAGGACCCTATGCTCACACATATATGTTTGTCTCTTTTCAAGAGAATTCGCCATTGTCCATACAAGGCATGTTTGAGTGGTTGGTTTGGGGTTTGAGCAGTTATTTTGAAATTTTTTCCTTCCTTGAATTTTATAACATTTTTTTATCTATCAAAATTATAATAATACTTAAACTTAAAATTTTATACATATTATTCTAACTTTTTATCATTAAGTCAACCCTAGTTGTTATATGATATGATATAATAACTCTCTAATCTCATCTCTCTAGTTTCCTATAATATAACTCTCTAGTGTCATCTGTGGTGGGATTTTGAGGTCATTAATTACCCGCTGGAATCAAAACTCTGGGGAACACTAATTTGTTGCTACATGTATGTGATGGACCAGCTAAAATATTTAGCTCTTTTGGGAATGTATAAGACAACCTTCAGCATATGCTTTGGGGTGTTTTGCGTATGTTGAGAAGTGGAGGAGGGAATCTTAATTCTTTTATTACCAATATAAAACAAAACTTGGTCAATGTCTTTTATGAGAAAGATGATTACTAAGACGTGATCCTTTGAATTATTAAGTTTGACTGGTTAATATTGTAAGGTCATTAACATGACTATTGACAATTAATTGTGATTAGTTAATAGCATTTTGAACAGGAATCCGGGTACAAGTTGTGACTAGTATCCTATATGGATAGGATCAATATATAGCAACAAAAAAAGTTTTAAAATTTTCGCCTAATTAATCTGATAAGGAAAATAACGATGTGACATTCTACTGAATCAATTACATGAGAGCTCAGGAATCATCTAGTTTATACCAAAGTCAAAATATGAAGTAGCATTTATTTGTTCTTTCCTTCAAACGAATATATATAGTTGTCTTATACAATACAAATCCAGATTTAAAGAGGATATTTAAATAAATTTTACATATTCTACGATATAATATTTTTATTGCCATGAACTATATATATATATATATATATATATCTATATATATATATATATATATATATATACAAAAACAAAAA